TCATATAAAAAAAGTAAAACATTTCCAGCAGCTAAATTCAAATCTGCGTTCGCTGGCTGGCACAGAGACACACACGTTTTTAAAGCACTGCGCATTATAACCAATCCCATTCTATTATGTTGAGTTTATAAATACAAAGACCAATCAGAGGCGTTCAGATGAGTCAATGCTGAAACACGCTGTTTCGTCACTGCCCGTGCTGGCTGACTGAAATCTCTGGCTAATTATCTCATCAGAAACAACATGTACGAATGTAAGTAAGATATTAACTTCACAGTGTAAACAGCTTTAGAGATTGTTATGGGAGTTTTTGAGAGTGCTTGAATTCGCTGGACTGAAGTGAAAATATTCTTTGATAGTGTAAACGTTCTTTGCTCTCTTTTTGTACAATGAAAGTGTTATAGGCTAATTAGTAACTTACTATGTTTTTATTAACTTCACATTAAATACAAAGTCAGTCGTATTAAATATATTTAATGGTATGACACCATATCTGGTACTTAAGTAAAAAGACAAATTTTTATGCAAAGTTAATAGATTAATACTATTAGGCTACTTTACTAGAGAACTAACATAATCTATAAAGGTGCAAAATGCATTTACTTGCACATATTTGAGAATCGAGATATTTCATGATATATTTTGGGAATATAAAAAAATAAAACCCCTGCTGAATAAAACATTAGACACCATTAGAAAATTTGTAATGGTTTTACTGGCTCTAATGGAACTTGTATTGGTTTTAAGGGAAACTGTAATGGACCCTGTTGGCCTCTATTGGTAATAGGTTGCATTCTATTGGTGGCTTGATAAAACCAACAAATCCTAATGGAATATGTCCCAAAACACACTACAGAAAACCTTTTTTAATGGTTAAAAATAGATGGTTTGTAATGTTATTTGTTGTGGAAATCTTTAAAATTTTCTGTGATGGTTTTATTTTTTATTATTTTTTCAGTAGAGACATAAGCCTATATCTGTTTGTGGCTGCTGTGTGTCATGAGAGTCCAAGCATGAGAGCCCCCCCCAGCCCAAATTTGTCAAATAAATTAAACATGATGAAACATTCATTTTAGTTGAAATTGTTATAGATTACATCTACATTGCAGCGATACATGACATGGTGAAAAATGACTGAATGAATAATAGGCTACTTAAAGTAGTTTAAGGTGAATTTTAAAATTGTGCCCCCTAAAAGCACAAGTGGCCCCTGTCTGCCCCCGCCCCCCCAGTTACTGTGGTCTAGAACCGCCCCTGTTCGCACCACAGGAACTAGGAACGTATTTAGTTCTAGGAACTCCATTTGGGGGAACTAATTTAGCTCCTACTTCAGAGTAGGGTCTAAAACAGTTCTATAGGAACTCTATAGGCCTCGAAGATAACACTACAAGTTGTCAATTGTGTGTTTACATTCCATTTCCATTTTCACAAAACCCACGACATGCAACAAAAACAGCTCCAAACACAGCGTCCTCTATTCACCGGTTGTTGATGTTTGTAAATGCCACGGATAAAGACATCACGGTCAGCCACTTCAGAGTTCCTGCTGCCGGTGCAAATACAACCAGTAAAATGGCCCGAAGGAGAAACTGGTTGTCTAGGAATGACCCTGCTGGCTAGTTCCTGAGTTCCTTAATGGTACACTTTTAAAAATAAAGGTTCTTTATACTGGCATCAATGGTTCCATGAGGAACCTTTAACATCCATGGAAACTTTCCATCCACAAAAGGTTATTTTGATTAATTAAATGTTCTTCACACTACACTCTTAAAAATTAAGGTTGCAAAAGTGGGTTTTATGATGCCATAGAAGAACCATTTTAGGTTCTGCAAACAACCTTTCAGCGAACAGTTCTTAAAAGAACATTTTAAAAATCTAAAGAACCCTTTCCACTATAAACAACATTTGTGCAGTGGAAAGGTTCCATAGATGTTAAACTTTCTTCATGGAACCATCAATGCCAATAAGGTACCTTTATGTTTATATGAGTGCAAGAAAAAAAAAGTTCTTCTGAGAACTGCTAACAGAAAGATTATATGAAGGTTAAATGGTTCTTCTATTGGATCACTATGAAACATCTGGAAACTTTTTTTTTAAAGAGGACCTTTTTTGTACAACCTAGAAATCAATCACAACAAATAAGCATTTCTAAGACATTGAAGAATTTTGACAAATAATCCTGTTCTTTTTTTTTCAAATGTTTTTTTTTACAGAATACAAGCTCCATTTTATTTAGTAAGTTGCTTATGCTCATTGTGCTGTGAACAAACCCACATGTTTGCAGTGTATAAGTGGTTGAACACATCTTAGGTCAAGTAACAAGCATGCATATTCATATATTGGTCTTCAGATAAGGATTACAGGAATATTCCAGGTTCAGAACAAATTAACATGTTTTTGAATAGTACATAAAATAATTATGACCTGTATTTTAGTAAAAACAAACAAATAAAAGATAAATAATAATAATAATAATAACTTGGTAATTACATTTCATGTCATTAGAACCTCACTTTGCAACTTGGAATATTCCTTTAAATTGATTTAATTTATTTTAGGGCATGTTTTTATTTATTTAGTTTAACAACCAAAACTGCTTGACAAGTGTAATTTGTTTATTTGCTGCACTTGCTTTCCATTGTGTGAAAAGATCTGTGGTTTTATATATGCACTTATAGGACTTTCATTATTGTACATCTTGAAAATATTAATTCTGACTAATTTTTCCATTTCTTGAAGATGTTTCACCACTCGTTTGAGTGATTTCAACAGTTCAGACAACTGGCAAGTTACATGACATTCTGTGATTTTTGAGCATTTGCATAGACACATTCATTAATGAACTGCCTAAATTTCCTAAAAACATAACATACATAAATGGAAACACCATAATGGTCGATTCATAACCAGTGGTGCTTAAGGCACAACAACAAATAAACCCCTAGTCATAACAAGAGACCAAAATATTGGAGAGAGTTGTAGAATAGATAACGTATCGGTTACTTGTGTAACCCTCGTTCCCTGAAGGAGGGAACGGAGACGTTACGTCAGTCGTGACTGACGAATTTGGGATCTCGCCCGAGTGTAAACTAAACAAGCCAATGACAGTTGGCGTGCGTGTTTCGCCATGCGCACCCCGCCCCGCAGCGCGGGTATAAAAGGAGAGCACGTGCAAACGCACATCAGTTTTTCGCTGAGGAGCCGAGACTACGCGCCCCGGCCGTACAGCGGTGGTACAGCAACTGTGGCGACGGAACGTAACGTCTCCGTTCCCTCCTTCAGGGAACGAGGGTTACACAAGTAACCGAGGAGACAACTGCACAACAGCGATGGCAGAGAACGACTGCTAGGGAAAGACATGGGCATACCGTGAGGGGAGCCATACCGTGGAAGATTACACATGTGGGATCGCCCGAAGGGAGAATCACTACACACGGGCACCTAGCCCAGCACAAGGGCTGACCTTGGGCATGCACACGAGTGCTGAGCACGCCTGACCGCGGAGGGTGCGGGAGGAAATTCAACAGGGTTCGCCATGTGGGACTGAACTGAGAAGCAGAAAAGCGCACGTATCCGGTCCTTAGAGGGGAATGGCGCAGCAAGCGTGATCGACACCGAGCGGGTCCAGCATTACTGCCTACCTGAGGTGAGTACACAAGAGGACACGGGCTCTACACAGAGATTATAGAATCTCGCAAACGTGTTAGGCGTCGCCCAGCCGGCAGCTCTACAGATGTCTGCTATCGAGGCGCCCCGTGCCAATGCCCAAGAAAATGCCACTCCTCTCGTAGAGTAAGCTCTCACTCCGAGGGGGCACGGTAACCATTGGGCCTGGTAAGCCAAGACTATAGGGGGCAGCGCTTGCAAGTTCACCACCTGATCCGTAAAAGGGGTGGTGGGAACTTTGGGCACATATCCAGGCCGGGGTCTCAGGACAACGTGAGAGTTACCCGTTCCGAATTCTAGGCACGAATCGTCGACCGAAAATGCCTGCAGGTCCCCTACCCTCTTGACCGAGGCCAATGCGGTGAGCCAGTGGCGGAACAGAAACAAATGGGAACAAAAGATTCTCCACCCGGCCCTCCTCCGGGGGAAGGAGTGGTGCGGTCACCATCTCCTGAAGAGCAGGATCCAAGAGCTCCGGGTCGCCTGGTAGCAGCGATTTGAAGCGGCGCAGAGCCAGCCATACTGCTTGCAAATCGAGGCAATTGATATGCCCCTGCAGTCGGAGCCCCGACCAGAGCCCCGCAGCTGTATTCCCATTGAACATGGCACCCCAGCCCCTGGCAGAGGCATCTGTTGACACAACAACATGCCTGGATACTTGCCCAAGGGACACCCCTGTCCGAAGAAAGGCAAGATCTGCCCACGGGCTGAAGGTCTGACGGCAGAATGGGGTGACAGGAACCCGGTAAGTGCCGTGTCGACATGCCCATCTCGGGACCCGGTCGTGAAGCCAACGCTGAAGCGGTCTCATATGAAGCAACCCGAGCGGCGTGACAGCGGTTGCGGATGCCATATGCCCCAGGAGCCTATGAAACTGTTTCAGTGGAACCGCCGTCTTGCGCTGGAAGGACCCCAGGTAGTTCAGCATCGACTGTGCACGCTCTACTGAGAGACGTGCTGAGAGGTTGACCGAGTCCAGCTCCATGCCGAGAAAAGTGATCCTCTGCACTGGGGAGAGTTTGCTCTTTTCCCAGTAGACCCTGAGGTCGACCGCTGTGAACCAATCGAAAGGACGGACGCATTGAAAGATGCGTTTCTGCATCAACGTCCTGAACGGGAGCTTGTGAAGGGCCCGGTTCAGCACGCGCAGGTCCAGGATTGGTCGTAACCCACCGCCTTTCTTGGGTACGATGAAGTATGGGCTGTAAAAACCTGACCTCATCTCGGCTGGAGGGACCGGCTGTATTGCATCCTTCGACAGCAGGACCACGATCTCTGCACGCAAGACAGGAACATCCCTGTCCAGCACAAAGGAGAACCGAATGCCCCTGAACTTGGGAGGGTGCCGGGCGAATTGAATCGCATAGCCGAGTCTGATGGTTCAAATGAGCCAGCGAGACGGCCTGGCGAGCACTAACCAGGCCCCCAGTGACCGAACAAGCGGGACTAGGGAAACCACCGACGTACCCGCAGTGGGGCAGCGCCGTGGAACACAGGGACCCAACCCGGGAGGCCGTGCATCCCAGGATGGGGTCTGAGTGCACGGCGCGCCACTTACCTGGCTCCACGGCTGGGCAGGGGGCTCGTGAGGAGGCATAGCGTCCTTGAACCGAACCCTGCTGCCCATTGGCGAAGGGAGAGGGGGTAGCCAGTGGCGGAACAGAAAAAACCCGCAACAAAGGTTTCTCCACCCGGCCCTCCGCCGGGGGAAGGAGTGCAGAGCTGCATAGCAATAGCGCGCTCGACTGGTGGGGATGTCCACATACCCTTGGGCTGCCCCACCGTAGAGGGTGGTGAGGACGGAGGAGGCACCAAGTCTGTTTCGGGCAGAAAAAGGTGCCTTCCAAGAATTAGTAACCTCCTCATGCACTTCCGGGAAGAATGGAACCGGAGGCGGCTGCCGACGACCGGCCTGCGCCCCCAGGAACCAATCATCCAGCCTCGAGCGTTCGGGAGAAGGAGGAGGCCTCCAGTGCAGCCCGACACTCTCTGGGGCCCGGGAAAGCATAGCGGTCAGCTCTGGATCTGACTCGGGCAACGCCACTCTTCCTGACGGAGGCAGCGCAGCCGAATCCTCATCTCCAGAGCCTAGCTCGCCCTCCGATGCAGCGATCGACATCCTGTCATCCGCCTGTGCTCCGCACAAGATGCTGGACCCCGCCCTGTCCGAGGATCCAGCACACTCGTTCGGGAACACCAGGTGGTGCGACATGCTAGAGAAATGAGAGGCCCGCGGAGACGTACACAACGGGGAAGCTCTCACCATGTTTAATGAGGAGGTATCTAGACCGCAACATCGCGATGGTCAAGTTCCCGCACTGAGAACATGACTCATCCCTGAGCTCTGCTTCATCGTGCTGTAAGCCCAGGCACGAGACACAGTGATCATGACCATCAGATGAAGCCAGGAAGCGACCACATCCAGAAACGCACAAGCGGGAAGCCATCTTTAAAAAGACGCCCGTCGTTCGTGGAGCTCTTTTAGATGTTTGCTCTTTTAGGAAAAAAAGGAAACACTCTTTTACAGAGAGCGCTGAAGCACCCAGGGGAGGTCGCGGCGAGACCGCAGAATGGCAGCTGCAGCACACCGAAGATGAGCAGCACTGAATGGCAACCCCCGCTGATGCGCCGTAACACCAACGCTAGGCTGTTTCTTTACAGACACTCGCGGAGATTCGTCCTATTAGAAGGCCCCGCCCCGAAGCGAAAAGCTGATGTGCGTTTGCACGTGCTCTCCTTTTATACCTGCGCTGCGGGGCGGGGTGCGCCTGGCGAAACACGCATGCCAACTGTCATTGGCTTGTTTAGTTTACACTCGAAGGTGATTGGGCTCTCGGGCGAGATCCCAAATTCGTCAGTCACGACTGACGTAACGTCGAACGTAACTGACTGAAAGGGAACTACCTAGTAACCAACCAAAACATCTTAACAACAGCTTAAGCGATGCACTGGCAACCAACTACACAGCATGATGACGTTGAGGTTTGCATGGTTCTGCAGACTCTTTAATGTCAAAGGGGATTTGTCTCTAGTCAAATCTTATCAACACAAATAAAATAAAATTACTCAGGCCCTCATGTCATGAGCTAAGCAAAGCTGGAATTTATAGTTAATCTGGCTTTTATCCACTGGTACCCAAGGTCAATCAATCCATAAAGATGCAGAACATAGTGTGAGGAGCACAAAACCTGGACACCTGGGCAAAGAAAAAACAAGTAATATAATACCATCTTCCTACAAGATCTGAAGTGACCATATCTGATCATCTTGAACCTTTATGGAAAGGTCTTGAAGACAATGCAGATGTACACATCCTAAACAACAGGAGGTGTTTCTTCTTGAATTGTGCAATTCCTCTCAAGAGTGCAAAGACTACAAATGAAGCCCCAGTCCCTGCTATTAAGTTTATTGTATCTATTCCTTGTGTTTATCCACTCCTATGATATAGCATTTTATCTACCCAAAATATCAAATCGACTCTGTAATGGCTTAATAATATATATATATATATATATATATATATATATATATATACCCTCACAGCCACACAAAACCTTGAAAGAAAGCTGGTGTTTTCATTAGAATTTAATAAGGCTGTCAGTTTAACATGTTAACTTAATTAGTTATGAAAAAATAATGCGACTAAAATATTTTAACGCAGTTAACGCACTGGCTCTGCCCCCAGACCTGTACGTCATCTTACATTTCATATAGTTGACTGTTGACAAAAATTATGCAGGGTAACAACAAAGTTGTTAGGGTAATAAATAAAGTTATGCTCTAAAATTCAAGATATTGGTGCAAAGAATTAGTTTTTGTCTCATATTTATATCATACAATATCACACGAGCAGGGAGAGCAGTATTGCTGATTCTGTCTCGAATATCATGAGTGATGAGTTTAAATGTGATTTTTTTTTACAACAGTTCAGTAAATAAATTGATATTGTGTTATATTGTGTTTTTGCTCAATGTAGCAGAGAACATATTAACTTTAAAGCCATAGCAGAATTGTTGTGCATCTCCAAGCAACACAGCGGTGTTTAGTTTCTGAATGAATCCAAGTTTTAAACGAATTATGTGAACCAATGATTCAAAGGCCCATTTATAAAGAGAGCCTATCCCCTTGTTCAAATACCCACTCTTGCCATCTTTGCACTTGACTAGTTATATGACCAATAAAATGTGCAACACTTTGTTTTTCTACCAAATTATATGTAAAATCTAATTATTAAATTATTTAACTTACACTGGAAAGGTTTAGTGACCTCTCGCAAGATCTCGGCAAAAAGTATCACGTTTTATTTCCAAAACATGATGCATGATGGGCTACACTAAGCTTTGAATAGCACTCCGTAGTGGTATTCAAGATAGTGTGGATTTAGTGTGCGTTAAGGGCACTGCGCTATGGCATTTTAAAGACCTGAGACAGTATTTGGGCAAGGCAATTTACTTCATTCCTGAATGAATCAGCCTTTGAACGAATTGAATGAATGAATGACTCATAAAGACATTTAGCTCCACCTACTGGCAGATTAAGTTTCTTATTTAGAGTATCTTTTCATTAAAAAATAAAAAATAAAAACATTAAAGGGATAGTTCACCAAAAATTAAAATTCTGTCATCATTTACACACCCTCTTGTTGTTTCAAACCTTTCTTTTGGGCAACACAAAAGAAGGTATTTTGAAGACTGTTGGTAACAAACCAATGACCAGTTTTCTCAAATTATATTCTTTTATGTTTCATAGTTTTTGTTAGGCCGTTGTACATACATTTTTATGTGTAATAAATTACATGTTGAATCAAATAAAATATTTCTTTCTAAAGCTACAATTTGTAATGTCTAATTGATACTTTCCCATTTAACACAAAAATAGCTTTAAATAATCTTGTAATTAATTAGATTCATGTCATGTAATATATATATATATATATATATATATATATATATATATATATATATATATATAATATATATCATTCATCAACATAAAATTAGTAATACGACTCAGCAAATGAGAAAGTGCATAATCTACTTGACATTCTTGGCCTCAGTGTGTTTGCAATAAATGGCAGATTCTTGAAAAAAACTTACAAGTATGTTGGCAAAATGGCTGTTGACTAAAAGTAAATATTGACATGGTGGCATAGGTCACTGTAATACTTTGTAAGTCCATTGCCTTGTCAGCAATGATTTATGGGTCGGCTAACTTTAACCAGATGTGGAGTGTACACTTTTCCTGATGTCTGCTAAGATATTATGTTGGATACAAACACAAATTAGACTTATCTATACATACAAAACATTCAGAACACTATGTGAAATACTACTAGTACTACTACTACTACTAATAAAAAGCTATGTATTTTGATTTGTTACTTTTTTGGTAAATGTCATGTTAGATGGTTGCAATTTTGTAGGTTTTTAAAATGTAAATATATGTATTGTTACGATATATGGTAGCCTTACAAAAATTATAAGATTGAGCATAATTTAATGCATTTTGCCTGTTCATTTTAGTATTACTACTATTATAGTATTTGTTTATATAAATATATTTATATGAAGATTTTCAATTTTGATTAATTTTGTAATGTGCTTTTGTCATTTTTCTTATTTTTTTGTATTTCTATATACTATATATTCCCAAATACAATATGCTTTATTTTTATTTCAGTTTTAGTAAGGTTAGTACTTCTAACTTTTACTTATCTTATTATTTTATAAGTTTTTCAGCTAATATGGATTTTGCATTTTAAAACTTTGCATATTTTTAAAACTTTTTTTTTGTAATTAACAAAACGACACTGGTTCATATGAATCTTTGTTTCGAAAACAGTAACAGTTTCAAGAAGACCCAGAGACCCGTACTTCTGCCCAAGATTGATGACAAACTGGAACAATACACTCATGCAATTGAGGTTCAATTGTCTTATATCTTGTTATGTTATGCTTTTTATGTATTATGTTAATCTGTAGTCAGTGTGGACAGTAAATTCTTATTTTATTATCTAATGCCTGGTTTAAGAATGATCTCTTAGTCAAACCATTATTTTGAGAAATCAGGCCTGTCTCTGGCAGCATTTAAAGGGGTCATATGATGCGATTTCAAGTTTTCCTTTCTCTTTGGAGTGTTACAAGTTGATTGTGCATAGATAAGATCCCTGAAGTTGCAAAGACTAAAGTCTTAAAACCAAAGAGATATTCAGATGGATCAGATGGTTTATATTTAGAGTAATTCAATGGGATCTCTTTTTGTACCGCCTCCTAAGAGTCTTTTGCTACATTTGCAATATTTCTTTAGAAACAATTAATCGCTCTGACTCACTGAGCCTAACGGTCTTAATGGGTTGCAGATCTCCTCTAAAGACGCAAAATTGACTAAGTCAGCAGCAGTTGACATGCCCAGTGTCTCTGCTCCGGTGACGTCCAAAAAAAACCTGTTTGAAGCAGGAGAGGCCTGGAGTCAAAGCAGCCCGAAAGGAACACCTTTGAAGGTCAGAAATCAGATTTCATTTCATTCATTGACTCACACCAAAAAAAAAAAACTCGGTTATCACTCACTTACCTTCATGTTGTTTCAGAAAAACAAACATTTTGAATATTGTACTGGTCGTTCTTACAAAGGGTGCTAAAACTTTCAAGCATGATACAATCATAAAAATCGTCTCGGGTTACTTATGTAACCATGGTTCCCTGAGCGCCGGCCAAACAAGTTGGTGTTTTTTCAATGTAGGCTTCAGACACGGGTCACGACGAGGCGTTCCCCATAGCGACCCCTAGAGGACGCAGTTCGAAGTTCCACGAAAGGGAAGCTCTGTGTTCTGTACTTCAAGTCTTTATGGGAGTAATAGGAAATCAGCTGTTTCATATCACCCCTTTAAATATTATGAGGGAAAACAGTGATGTCAGCGCACTTCTATTATTGCTTTGAATGAGTCTCAGATTGCGCAAGTTTGGAGGTCAAGCGGTGGCTCCAGCGGCGGCAGCGTGAGATATGTCATGTAGTCATGTAGTGTGGAACAACATCTGCTCTTTACACCTTCACATTCACACCCACACTATCGGTTTGCCAGAGTCTGACACACATGAACAACCATCAATGGGAAGCTCTTGTGTAGGAATTCTTTGGAAATGTTTGCCAGATCAATCATAACCTTATGAATTGTGCTTCACCGCTCCATCAACATATAAAGCCAAAACTAAAACATACAAAAAAGAAAATCAGTTAGATTATTTGTAATTCAGTTTTGTTATACATGCTGTTCTGTAACGGTTTTATATTTTTAGGATACAGACTGTGTGAAAGTGGGTGTAGCAAACCTGATCAACCATTGGGTGAAAGGTCCAGAAGGCGGGAACAGACACTCCCTTTCCACACCATCTGTAAGTCTATTAATGAACCTTGAAAATCTTTAAATTGTAACCAATGTGCTGGGGAGAGATACATGTATTTGTTCCATGGTGTAATGGAGAAATTAACTAATAATTTCATTGGCATATTTTTTGAAAGACCGAGACTGCCATTTCTGTGTAGAACAGATGTGTTAATTTACATGTAGTAAAAAAATGAATATATATACAGTGAAATAACAAAAAGGTACATTTATGTTGCCCTCTTGTGGTAGAATGAGCTACTGCATCTTCAATTATTTTCCGGAAAAAAAAAAAAAAAAACGAAGTTAATCAATCATCATGTCCGGTAAACCGCAATGTTCTTTGATGTGTGTATGTGGTTTATAATGTTAGCGGTTAAGGTCTGAAGAAAAAACCTTAAGATCATCACATCCAGATGTAATGAACATTGTTTCTATGAAACATAAGAGCTTTTGAAGACCAGAAAAAGGCTACATGATTGAATTTCATTTTTGAATCATTGAGTGATAACAGGTTTTGAACATCTGGTTTATATCAAATAAATAGTTCACCCAAAGTCGTTTACACACCCTCAAGTTGTTCCAAATAATTTTGATTTACTTATTGTGGAAAACAAAAGGACTAATTCTGAAGACTGTGCTGGTTTCTCTTTTTCATGCAATTGCAACGAATGTGGACTGAAGCTTTTGAGTTTCTAAAAGAACAACAAAAAAAGCACCATTAAAAGTAATTTATACTACTTCTACACTATATTCCAAGTCTTCTGAAATAATTCAATAACTTTTTTTGTGAGAAACTGAGAAATTTCAATGAAATCAATGAGTTTGTTAATCCGGTTGACAATATCAACCTTAATGACTCAAAGAATCCGGCTAATCTGGTTCTTGAGTTCAACTCAATGACCCAATGGTCAATGGTCTAGTCCAGCGGTGGTGAACTCCGGTCCTGGTCACAGTTCAGTTACTCCAACCCTAATTAAAACCTGCCTGTAGCTTCCTAGCAACCCTTCAGACATTGATTAGCTTGTTCAGGTGTGTTTGATTAGGGTTGAAGCAAAACTCTGCAGGGCTGCGGCGCTCCAGGACCGACGTTCGTCACCCCTGGTCTAGTCAGTTAATCAGTGAAAAATGACTTAGATTTCAGGTCAACATAAAAGGATATTGGGGTACAACAGCAGATTTAGGAAAATAAAGTAATTCTTAACAAATGCTCTCTAATGTATATTTCCAGGATGTTAAACCTGGAGATGTTCTGCAGAAAAAGAACATGTGGGAAATTGTTGGAGAAGGTTCTGCAGGAGAGAGGTCAGGACTGGGAGGAAAGGTAAATAAATCTTGTACTGATAAACCTTAAAATGATTTTAAAAGTTAAATGAATCTCTTGCTTAATGCCACTCTCATTATTTCTTCTACTCACCTTTTATATTGTAGGCCTCCTCCTCGGGTAAACGGTACAAGTTTGTTGTGACAGGCCATGGAAAATACGAGAAGATTTCCACTGATGGTGATCATTACAGTGTCTACCCGAATGGAAAAACAAGTGAGGTGCTTTCTTCTATTTTACATAGTTTAAAGCTAACAAAACAGTTCACATGTACATTAGTTTGTTTAATGAGTAAAAGTAAAAGAGCTTAAAATGTTTCTTTAAATAAAAAATGCCAAAAACAACAACAATATGGATACATGGTCTTGATGCCTTTTTGCAGGCCAACAAAGGCATGATAGGTAGTTATCTAATATTAACTAGCTACCAGGCTACTACCAAACTAGCTACATAGCAAGCTAGTTAAGATTAGCTTAAAATAGGCCTACTGACTGTTGTAGCATTAGAGCATCAAATATCCTTTTAGAATACTTTGAAAAGACACAAAAACCCAGAGCGACTCAATTTCCAGTGCCTTATGGGATGATATCCATTTCCCCCAAGTACATAAATGAGAGCTCTAAAAAGTAATATCACTCATGTCATTGTTCTAATTCAAAAGATTCTTGAAATAAGAATATCACATAAAAAGTTAAGATGCTATCTCAAGTAAACTTTTGAGAGCTAATATAATTCATTTTAAAATAGACCTGAAATTGTTTACATTTTTAAATCTCGCTGTCTAAAGTTTTTTTATACACCTGTTTGATAATACATTGATAATATATCTCAAACAAATCACAGCAAGCTTCTAACACAATGCAAATGTTTCCATTCAATGGCTAGTGTCATAAAAGTAGTCATACCAAATATCCTCTCTCAAAACAGGTATTTTATTTAAAAAAATAAAAAATAACATTAAATCTAGTACAGTGCACCTTAGAATGCAAAGCATTATACACATCAGCATCAGTAAAGAGAAAATATTCTCAGTCTGACGGTTTCTGCAACAAAAGACAAACATGCAAAAAAGGCCAAGCCTACAAACTTAACATTACCTAAGCCTGAAATAAGAACATGCATGAGTTGGAGTTGACAATCAGCATTCACTGTTATTCATTTAATCATATTGAAGCAACGAGAGCATTTATATTAAAGGTTTGGTTAGCCCCTTTGAGGCTCCACCAGTGAAAGCTCTTTGTCAACGCTAAGCACCAAGCAAAGTGCGCCATGCCATGCTTTCTGTACTAATAAGGCTTCGAACAAATTTCCAAAACTTAGCATACTTACTGTATACATCTCTTTCTTATACTACCTCTTAATTCTTTCTTCCGCAGTTAATTGGTTCTACTTGCCCAACCACCTAAAACTCAACTCTCAATTGTCCCTACACCTTAAAAAACATACAATAGCAATGTGTCCCTTAACACCATGTTAACTTGTGTATATATATATATTTTATCCTCACAAAGACTTGTTACGCCCAATTAAGCACCATAGAATACTGGCTGTAGAAAAATATTGCTGAGAAAAAGGTGTGGTGTATTTTATTGTAATGTTAGTATACTATAGGGTAACTAAACATTTTCGATACCTAAAACCTGCATTATATTTTACATGTTCATACCCCAAAACACTCTCTTGATTTTGCTTAGATTTTGTCTATAGTTATATTTCTGTATTATTAAATTTAAATTATTATTATTTTTTGATGAAGGTGTTCAGGGATGTAAGTATTATCAAAATTATTACCATATTTAACATGCTCATAAAAAATGCCGAGATGAGCTTTGAAAGTATTAAGCAATAAACTCTTTAATTTAAAAGCTTCAAAACTATATGATTTCTCTATATTCAATATTCTAATTCGCTTAAATGGCTAATGCCAGTTGACAAGTGGGCAATTACCTACTGCAAATAAGTTACTGTGCATTTGAGATAGTCATTTTTTAGTTTACTTGCCAATTGACCGGTTATAAAAGCATATGTAAAGAATTGGACTGGATAATAAACAGAACTCAACCATCCTTGCCCACTATTTATATGTTATCCAGTTAGACATCAGTGGTTTAAGAAGTACTGAAGCCTCTGGCTGTTCTGTTAAAGTCTTTTGGTTCTTCGTCTTTATGTTTGCGGCCTATGAGTCCCATTTCAAAAACTGTTGCAATCTTTGTTGCTGGTCGCGAAGCTGCCTCTCTTAGTCGTCTGGCATCAAACCGCGGGCTGTACAGGAGAACTGGCAAACGATGCGCAAACGTGGGAATCTCTTTTGGCATCTTCTGTTCTGCCTCCATCTTCTTTTGCTCCTCGGTTTTATTGGCTTCAATTTGTTGCATTATATTCTCTTTGGTGGAGAACATTTGGAAGAGGACAGCATCCCACATTTTTGCTGCCCTTGGGGAGTCTCTACTGTCCTGGCTGTCAGTAGGCTTAGCTTCGGCTTCAGTTATATTTCGCATTTCACTTACATTTTGATCAGCGCTGGCAGGGACATCTTTCTTTGACACAGGCTCTTCCTCTGGAAACTTGGGCTCCTCTGCTTCAACCACCATATGTTTCTTAAGGCGAGACCAGCCACTGAGTTTTGACTTCATGCCTTTTGGTTTCTGCATCACCTTCAAGAGAGGCTCTGCAGTTAGGGAGGAGTCTTTCTCACCCTCTTCCTTTTCCACTGCAGACCTGATCTCCTGTTGTGGGCTAGCTTTTGTCTCCACTCTGTCAACCTGTTCAGGTTCGGTATCCTTTGTTTCAAGTTTCTCTTGGTCTTTTGGTTTAGCCAGTGGCTTAACCACATCTTTAACCTCTCCTTTTTCAGGAGTTTTTTCAGAAGAAGCAGCTTCAAGCTTCTGCTTCTTAATTCTCTCTAACAAAGACATTTTTGCCTCTGTTGGCTTCTCTGTTACTTTGGTTGTTTCGGCATTAACTTTACCTTCTGACACCTTTGGAAGAGCTGGCTTTCCCACATCTTGGTCAGATAATAGCACAGCCTTACTAGCAGATTTCGGCGTTACCTTCACAGTTGGAGGGGTTGGTGTCTTTTGGGAAAGTCTAGGAGATCCATAGGTTGGAGTTCTGACTCTTGGTGTCACAGTACTTATTGGCTCTGCTTTTGCTTCTGATGGTGGTGTGTCAGCTACAGATACCACAATAGTTGGAATTTTAACGTCAGGAATTTTTGCTTTTAATTCTGGCACAGTTGACTTGGGAATGTCCCTTACAGAGTTTGCTTGTAGCATAGAGGCTAACTTTGAAACCTCTGGAGGTGGAGCCACCACAGCGGTTTCCTCTTTAACAACACCAGCCTGAGGTGGCAGGACTTCAACTTGTTCTTTAGGCTTTACCTCAGACTTGTCATTCGTCATGGTCACATTTACATCAGGTTGAGGTACTATTTGTTCCTGTTTTGAAAGGTGAGTTGCCTCTGCACTTGGTAGTGCAGTTGATGTAGAAATGCTAAAACTGGGTGTGTAACTCTTTATTCCTCCATGGGCAACATATTCAGAGGGAGTCAATCCATAATATGTTGGTTTGGATTTAGGTGCTGTTGGTGTTTTGGGTCTTTGACCTGCAAATGGAGGGACTCTAGATAACGTTTTTTGATGCCCAACTGAGGATAAAGCAGGCTGTGCATGTTTAGTCTTGGGTGTTGTTGGGGTTTTAGGCTTTGGCTGCTCATTTGGGCTTTTCTGTATTTGGGACTTTGGCTTTGATGACTCAAGTTTTGACAGGTTTTCTGTGGCCTTATCCAGCTTTTCTTGTAAGGGTTCAGTTGATTTGACACCTATGTCCCCATTTTGTAATATTTCTGAATGACTGGTGTCATTCACTTGATTTGATATTTTATGCATTTCATTGTGTGGACCAGTCAAACTTGAGGTTGGCGTTTTGGATCTTCTGCCCTCCATGTGCACAGGAGACACAGCAAATAAAAGTGGATTTGGTCTTGAAATCTCAATCACAGGTACTCTAACATGTGACGCATTACCTGAAGGTGTCTTGGGACGCCCTGAAGGTGTTTTTGTTGAAATAAAGTCAAATGTTGGTGTCTTTACTCTTGTTGGTGTTGTAGCCCCCTTTGCCTCAAGCGTTGGAGTTGTACCCCATTTTGTCTCAGGTGTCAGTGTTGCATTTTGTTTAGTCTCTGAAGCAGGAGTTCTGAACCTTTTAATTTCAGAAGATGGAATTGTCTCTTTCTTGACTTCAGAAGTTGGAGTTTGGCTTTTCTTAATTTCTGAAGTTGGGGTTGTAATCCTCTTGACTTCAAATGTTGGTGTTGTAACCCTTCTGATCTCTCTGGTTGGTGTTCTGTCTCTTCTTATTTCAGATGTTGGTGTCACTATCCTTCTAACCTCAAATGTTGGCGTTGGGCCTCTCAATAACTCTGCAGTAGGCGTTTTACTCCTTGTTGGTGATGCATGAGGTGTTCTCACACCTACTGTCTTTGCTGTGTAAATGGTGATTTGAGGAACTTCAAACAATGGTTTTGATGTTCTAGAAACATTCAAAGTGGCTGGCTGAGGGCTTGGAGATTTAGAGGTTACATGAGTGGTAAGATTTGAGCTGACTTCCACTCTTTGTGAAGTTTGTAGAATAGTGACTGGAACAGGTTCATGCGTGTCAAGTCCTGGTACTGGTGAGGCTGTGTATTGAAATGCTGGAGACCGGCGTTGGGGAGCCACATATGGTTGTGGTGAAAACCTTGCCGTCTTGCCGTAAGTGAATCCTCTGTGATGAGGATAAGGAGACGACACATGCTGATACAGTGGTCGGACGTTGAAGCGTGGGTGTACCGTGCCAATGTAGTAAGGTGTCTCTGGAGTCTTAGGAGGAGTTGAGTGATCACTGTGCTCCAGGTCAGGGCTCGCTTCATTTACTGGAGAGAGGCTTGAGCGGTAGGGGACTGACGGTTGTGAGGCCTGGGCTGCAGCTTTTTTCTTTGCTGTCTTCTTGAGTAGTTTCTGGAGCCGGACATTTTCTTTCCCAGGTTTGGGAAACAAAGGTGGGGGGTACTGCTGGGAAAGCAGGCCTGCCTGGGTAGCATTGCCAATATTGACCGCCATTAAATCTTCAGCCCCCTGAAACAAATAAATAACAATAAATGTTCTTGCTAATAATGGTAAAAAGGTGCAAACCATTCCAAAAATAGGCATCGTAAAATAATTTAGCAAAAAGCTTTGCTCGCTAATACTGTTTTCTCTATTTATTTTTCAGGAGAATTTTCCAGCGATCGCTTGTGAGGAATTAAATTCTGCAATAACATCTTTCCTGATTCACCAAGAACACATTAATTGACATATATGTAGTACAACATTTCAATCAACTTTTCAAAACAATTACACTACATAATGTGCTTTTGTGTTTTTTTTTATGATTGTTCCATTTTTAAATGTTCTAATGGCATGGCTTTGAAATGTTTTCATCTATTGTATTCATCTATTTGTCTCACACACACACACACACAAATATATATGTGTGTGTGTGTGTGTAAAATTATTCTCAGACCTATTGAATTATTCTGACCGATCGCAACAGAATAAAAGGTCTTAGTTTCTTTTATTTTTTCTCAGTATCATCTACAGTATTTGTGCTGATAGTATGCCCACTTCTAACAATGTATGAGTATGAACTGAATGTGAATGTCAAATAGATCAAAGTCATGACTTGTCAACTGTTTTTATATTGATTTTCTATGCTATGTTTATGCTATGGCACATTGTTTCATTTATATAGACTTGAATAGATAAAAGGTAGAATAATCCAAAAACATATTACAAAATTCCTGCAGCTGATTCTTATGCATTTTAAGCCACAACCAATATTTTACTGTTATATTTTATTACAAATATGACATTGATTTTCTTTTTGGTTTTCATGAAAACACTGGAATTACTCCATTTATCATATTTATAATATTAAAATAAACATGTTTGTTTAGGTATGAGCATTTTGCTACCCAATGGTATTGAGAATTGTTAAAATAAATGTCATTAATAGGCAATTACAGCTTTTATTTTCAATAAATTTGATATTTTGTATGATTATTAATTTGGATTTTGGCTGCTTATTCTCAATGTTAAATGTAAATATCAGAATAGTTTTCACTTGATACAATGTCTCAAGTTAATGACATGTTCCCATGCAGTAAACTTCCACAACACATCTAGGATAGCTCCTTGTCCTAATTTTAGGGTGAAAGCAAATGAGCAAGTCATCTGCTCCATGTCACAGAGTGTGGTGCCACTTTCCACCCTCACCGTAAACCAATGCCATGCAGTCGCTGCTTTAGCCATAGGTGGAGCAGCTACATTAAATTATATAATAAATCACTGAAAATTTACTACCAATCAGATTCAGTGGTTTCTGTTGACGCACAACCTAATATCACATATCCCAGAGCTGCTTTAAAGTTTTTCATACTGTATCGATATATATATATATACTAAACTACCTTACTATAAAACATTAAGATAATAATTAGCTTTAAGACTGGACTATTCATAAATGATATTCATGAAACACTCATGGACATTTCCTGGCTCATTTATGCAATAATTTAGATCATAATTAATTATATATAAAGGTTATGAATCAGTGGATTCATCTGCATTTTTGGGAAAGCATAAATGTAAGAATAAATCTATTATAAGAAAGGAATCCAAGGCACTGCTTTCGGTATAAAAGAAGAATACAAGAATATATTGATATAAGAATAAATCTCACTAAATGTAGCTATATTTGTGCTTAAAATAAGTTTAAAAACATGCCATTGAGGAAGAAAAACTGAATTCAGTATATATTCTCCCAAAACAGGTTTTAGTATAAGCAATTGCTTCATCTTATTTTAGGGATGTTTAGATATTTGACTACAAAATACAAAAACTGACTACAAATTAAATTCAGTGGCCTTAGGAACATTTTTTTAAAGATAAAATACTAAGCAAAATGACTTATTTTGTGTCCGTATAACACAATCTTTTTGCAATAGTGCAAATGTAGGCCGCTTGTAAAAGAAGCTTCCAGCCCAGAGTGACACGAAGAACCATATGAGAAGAGGTCGTCCTTTTAAGGCCCTGGTAGGCTGGGCAGTTTGGAAAATTTCCAAGATGCAAGTTCAAAAGAGGAAAGGGCAAGAATAGCAAAGCAGTAAAATCATGCACAGCATAATTGCTTCTTAGCAACCACCTGGTGAAAAAAGTCGTCATTGTACATATAAAAATATATGCTCCATGGTAGTATGTACACTTATACACATGTGCTTACCAAGAGATGACTGTAACTGAAGACAGGTGAAGACACTTCAGACGAGATCCCCTGTACATATAAACATGTATGATTTTTTTTTTACATGTCCTTTAACATAAGCAACTGCATTTTAATAAAGACGTAATATATGGTGACAAGGAAACCAATATCAGTATTATTAATTTCAGTTTTACAGTGCTATATTACAGTCCCTATTGCACAAACCTGTCAAGTTAGCCTGCAACAAACTGCTGAAGCCTTTTCCCAAAGGACAGACATGGCATGCACTTCCATACTAGGCATTCATTTAATATTATCCAGAAGACAAAAATATCAAATTTCAAGCAAATTTTTTCTGGGTTTATACCTGTTTGTCTGCTGTTCAGGGGTGTCTGGCGGCTGCCTGCTTGTCCCAGCTTGGACTGTCAGAACGGGAGACTCATGTTGAGTTCAACTATTCCCCCTACCTTCAAATGGAAGGCACAGGCTCCATAGCAGTCCAAAAATAAAACCCTGAGTCTGTTACTCAGAATGCATGGAGAGTGGTGACGGTGTAGAGGGAACCGTCAGCGAAGCAGGGGGGATCCAGGTCACCTTAGATATCACCAAGTGTCCCCCCTCCCCCATGACACCAGATGCACACCCTCATTTACACAATCTATAAGCACAGCACCCCCTACAGTTAAGAAGAAGCTATTATACTATTTAATATAATGAATGATTATTTATGCATTGTTAATGACAGGCTGGAATCACTACAATTTGTACTTCAATGAATGTGCATCAACAATGTAAAATAAAGTTTAGAGTTACTAAGTTACTAAGAGTTACTAATTATTGAATGGAATTTAAATTCAATTTAGAAATGTATTGCCATATTAGTGACCTCAAGACATTTACAATGAAAAAAAGGAAATGGTATCTGCATGAAACACTTACACCAGTTGGAGTAAGTTGGAATACAACTCATATCATTTCACAGTTTCATATCACTGAGGAGTTCCTAACACAACATATGCAGACTTGGGAGCGAGCCCTGAGGAACACCCCAACACTTTGTCTGAAGCATCTATCCATTATTTTGAAAATAACACCAAAAGGCAAGTGGATCACACTCACATTCATCCCATTCAGAAAATGTGTTAATTGTGCTTACGTAGTACCACAGCAAATATAGCAACAGTGTCTCGCCCACTCCTCCAAACTTACGCCTCTGTTACATTTCCTCAAACCCTTGTCCATCTCCTTATTCAGTGCCTGGGCCAAGATCTGGACCTTCCCTTCTTAACCCTTCCCACTACGGAATCTCCACCAATGGGATATTTTCACAGATCAAGTGTCACTATAACAGAAAGACTTTTTCATGCCTGCATGTTTGCTGAACTTTACAACCAGTCTCTGCCAGCAGGGAATTCACTTCTTTCAGCTTTTCTGAGGTAAGAGTAAAAGAAGGCACAAGTGCAGCGGGTGAGGAAATAATTAGCGTGGGAAATATCGTGTGTAGTTTTGTGTGAGTTTATACTAAGACAATTTGTGACAATGAATGTGTAAACTCATCAGGTTTTTACACAAACTTGTGGAGTTCATATAGCATAATGCATTTAGTTGCATCAAAAGCTTGGTCAAACATTGACTCCTTAAATTATATATATATATATATATAAATAATACAGTTACATTTACATTTAAGTTGTGTGAATGACATAATCTATTCAATCTATATGATCTAAATTTACTATGTCCAAATATAGAAAAAACAAAAACTTCAGCTGGAACTTGGAAACTGGATCCTGAACAATGTTTGGGCCTATTAAGTGCAGCTGTCTTGTCAAAGTCAAATTCTTTTTGACCTGAGATGTTTGCAGGGATTGCTTGCATCTATTTCCTGCCTGTTATTCAGAAGTTAACAATTGATTGTTTTTATATTTTAATTCATCAACCCTTTAATTATTTCTGATTGTGTAGTATTTTGTATTGATTCTTTACAAAATTAAGAGTCCTGCAATATATAAAGAAATATTACTTATAAAATTGGGAAACAACGCTTTATCCACTAAAGATGTTTTAAAGGAAAGTGTCTGTCTTTTGATCACTTCAGCGTCCCTGACAAGGCCATGAATCTACAGGCAAAGTGGAAAACAAACTTTCACATAAATCTGAATATGAGCAAGGGAACTTCTCATTTATCATACGTCAGCCAGTTCATAGGTCAGCTAATAATACAATTCAGTCAATGCTTAGCTAAAATGACTTCACACATCTTGTGAGAAACTGAAAAGCGAAAAACATAGCAGACTACTATAAACCAAAATGTAATTGTTGCCTTAAAATGTAATACATAATCTGGTATATGTCAACATAACTTAAGTTTTTGCACCCTACATTCTTAGTCATCACTGACAATCTTGATTATTTAATTTGTCAAAAAGCCCATTAGTTCAGCATGAAGGGGTCAACAGGGGAAAGGGAAGAGATGGTTTCATGACAGTTTTATGAATCACTATATACAGTATATGTGTTCATTAGACTCTTTGCAGTCTTGCCTTGAGGTTCTGATTTGCGCATCATTCTTTCATTTTCTTTTAGTCTCAAAGTCCACTATCACCATGTCAGACACAGAGGAGGTGTAAGTATTATAAAGTTTGTCATTTTGTAGTCCAACTGAACTTTAAAATATGCTTTTCTATGCATACTGAACTGAATTTGTATGACGCACACTAACCGAGCATAATCAAACTTCTGTTTATCATTTGTTTTTTACAGCGAGCATTTTGAGGGTGAGTACAGGTTTTCAATGTTTTCTCGTAAAATCTAAACAATATACATATTTGTGCTGTGATTCAGTTAATCATTTCCCCCTATGTTCATTGTTATTTTAAGAAAATGATGAAAGTAGGCAATCACAACGAGATATTGTGTAGACTTAAATGTAATAATCGTGCAATCCATGATACTGCTGCACTGGTGATCAAATAATTTTTTTATTATTATTGTATGAATGCAGATTTCATCTGTTAGTAACAACTTCTGTATATGCCTACAAATGTACAACATCCTGGTCTCTGTTCTCCCTCTTTGAACTTTGATTTTTACATTCTATTTGATCGATTTTATTACACAATAAGGTATATAAAATGTTTTTTTGTCTTATTTACACTGAATCTGTAGTGCATGCATTAGACAATGTGAAGAACATTATCTTACAGACATAACAGTGTATAGATAAATAAATGTGCAAATAGATTTATGTGAAATAAATCAACTTCAACTTTATTTATTTATTAAATGTATAAATAAATACAATAAAACATTAATAAGGCAGGTATTTCTTTTTTAAATGTTTTTGTTGGCAAAAAAATGCCGTTGTTGGCAGATTCGGTCCCTTATTATTATAGTTGCTAATAATATCCATTCTGTTCTTGCTTTCTGTTCTTGTTTAATGCTCGCTGTCATTGAAGGGGAAGGTATGTTGATTACAGATGTATTCCACTTTATTTTGTTGAAGGGACAGCGGTGTCTCCTCCTAGTGGACAACATCTATAATGCTGTCCCTTCTAGTCAAGGCTGGCATATTGGTGCAAGACTGCCTATAATCCAAAAATATACACAAGCTAACCATATAGTCCAAATCTGGGCAATAATCAGACTAGGCCAAGTAATGAAATGGGTGAAAGAGTTTCAAATAATAACAACCGTGCAGTGATCCGTTTGAGTTTGCTTTGCATGGCTCGTATTGAAAGCTGAACCACTCATTTCAAGGACAAGCAGCTATTTTAAATGTCAGAAGAAAAACCATGACAGGGACAGGGGAGGGGAAAAAATAAAGTATATATTAAGCTTTTCATGGTCATTGAAAACTTTCAATATTTTAATGTTTTAACACAAATTAAATCTATTTTTTAATATTATAATAATAAATTGATATATTTAATCAATTTTAAATTTCTATAATGCATTTTAATTATATTTTATTTAAAATATGATTTATTATTTTAAATAAATTATCTACATTATAATTATTTTTTAAAAATCAATTTCGTTACATAGTTAAAATTAACTGGATTTTTATATAATTTAATTTCGAAATGAAAGAGGAATATATTTATTTTTTCACAATCTATATTAATATATCTATCAAATAATTACATTTTTCATTCCTTCTAAAAACAAATACTAATTATGTGGCAGTGCTATGCCAATGTTTGAAAATTGCTGTGTATCGTTAATTGTGTGGATTTCCCAATAACACAATAACATGTACTTGTCTCCTCTTACTCCTAATACAGAAGAGAAGCCAAAGTACAAGTAAGTAGCCTGTAGGAATTTGCGCATTAAAGCAAACTATTTGAAAAGATTTTAAGACATAATGCTCATTTACATTTTTTAACTACAGGCCATCAGCACCCAAGATCCCAGATGGTGAGAAAGTGGACTTTGATGTAAGAGTTCATGTATCTTTGGGAGTCTTTAAAATACAAATAGGCATGTATGTATTTGTCAATGAGACGACAACATTGTTTCTCGCGTGTCTCAACGCAGGACATTCAGAAGAAACGTCTCAACAAGGATACTCTTGAGCTGCAGGGCCTCATCGATACTCACTTCGAGCAAAGGAAGAATGAGGAGCAGGAACTGATGGCCCTCAAGGAGAGAATGGTAAGGAAACATCCCTTGAGAAATAAAATGTTAGCCTAACCTGATCTTCTTCAGAATAAGTCGTAGTAAATAAAAATGTGTTTTCTGTCTCCAAACAGGAAAAGCGCAGAGCTGAGAGGGCAGAGCAGCAGAGGATCCGAGCTGAAAAGGATAAGGAGCGCCAGGCCAGACGTGAGGTGTGTATCACTGACCCTGCGAGTCTAGTAGTTCATTCATTTCCAAAAAAATCAAAAACAAATACATGTTCGTTGACTACTTTTTTCCCCATTTTTTCCCCCCATAATGAATACAAGATGACACAACATAATTTAACACAAACTGTGACTTTTTTAATACGCGAGACTAAAAAGATGTAGTTTAAAAATAAAAATTTTACCAACATCTATATTCTCTTCAACAAAGAGAAGAAAAAGCATTTTTAAAAAGCCTCCACATGTTATCATACTTGGGGTTGCCAGATGTCAACAATTAGAGCTCGTCTCTTAAAAGGACACATTTCTGCCCTGTGTTTTACTTTATCTTAGCAACCTGGCAACCATGAGTACACAGAGGGAAAAAAATTATATATATAATTCTCAATTATATTGCTTGCAGTTGTAGTTGCTGAATAAATTAACTTAGCTTTTGTGTGACACTAAAAAGTCATTTTTTGTTGTTTTAATAAAAAAACAAAACAACATAAATTGGAATTAACGGAATTAATATTAGGAATTTCACAGATTTAGCATCTGAGAGAAGCTTTTGAGCTTTACCAGTTGTCATAATGTACAGTGTGTTAATTTACATGATGATTTAATAAATCAGGAAACAAGATAAGTAAATTAGTAAAATACCAAAATTATTTGGCAACCAAAATTTGACAGGGAAAAATAACAGGATCGGTTGAGGACTATGATGA